TATATATATATATATATATATATATATATATATATATATACACTAAACCCTAAACCCTTATAAAAAAGCTTAGCTCTCATTCATATCCTAAACCCTCATATAAACCCTAAACCCTCATAGAAACCCTAAACCCTCATATAAACCCTAAACCCTCATATAAACCCTAAACCCGCATAGAAACCCTAAACCCTCATATAAACCCTAAACCCTAAACCCTCATAGAAAACCTAAACCCTCATAGAAATTCTAAACCCTCATACAAACCCTAAACCCTAAACCCTAAACCCTTTATAATAGTAAACCCTTGCTGATGATAAACCAAAACATAAACAATATAAAACAACAAACCCTAAACCCTAAACCCTAAACATAGACAGTATATAATAATAAACCCTATATATTTATAAACCCCAATATAAACCCTAGCTAATAGTAAACACCATACAACAATAAACCCTAAACCCTAAACCCTAGATATACATAAACCCTAACATAAACCCTATATTAAGATAAAACCCTAAACCCTAAACCCTAATATACAGCTCAAACCCTAAACCCTCACAATCCTAAACCCTAGCATATCCCCTATAGATAGATAAACCCTAGATAAATAATAAACTCTCACTATAAAAAAAAAAAAATAAATAAAAAAAAATAAAAAAAAAAATAAAAAAAAATAAAAAAAAATAAAAAAAATAAATATAGAAAAACCCCTATCAATACACCCTATTGAACAAAAGACAAACCACACAACGTACACCACCACCAGCAAGCTGCTGCAGCAGCAGCAGCAGCAGCAGCAACTGCTGCTGCTGCTAGTGCAGCTGCTGGTGCTGCAGCGGCTGCTGCTGCTGCTGAAGCTGCTGCTGGAGCTGCTAGCCGGTGCAGCTGCAGCAGCAGCAGCAGCAGCAGCCTCACCTGCAGCAGCAGCAGCAGCAGCAGCAGCAGTAGCCCCATCTGCTGCTGCAGCAGCAGCAACAGCAGCAGCAGCAGCAGCAGCAATGTTGCAGGCTAAAGGGAGTCTGAATTTATTTAAATTATATTTATTTTGTCTTTATTTATAAAACTATAAAAACAAAAATAAAAAACAAAAATATATTTGCTTTCTCCTAGCTGCACGTACACCCCAATCCTTAACTCTAAATAATTTTGCATGCGCAGCAGCAGCAGCAGCAGCAACAGATGCAGCAGCAGCAGCAGCAGCAGCAGCTGCAGCAGCAGATAGGGCAGCAGCAGCAACAGACGTAGCAGCAGCAGCAACAGATGTAGCAGCAGCAGCAGATGCAGCAGCAGCAACAGATGCAGCAGCAGCAGCACCAGCAGCAGCAGGAGGAATAGATGTAGCAGCAGCAGCAACAGACGCAGCAGCAGCAACAGATGCAGCAGCAGCAACAGATACAGCAGCAGCAACAGACGCAGCAGCAGCAACAGACCCAGCAGCAGCAACAGATGCAGCAGCAGCAACAGGGAATAGATAGAGAAGACAAACAAAACAATAGGAGAGTTAATACAGTCTATAAAGCCCTTCAGAGCTATACTATACATGCATGCAGCTCTAACGTGTATGCAGGCATGAGTTCTAAAGTGCATGCATGCATGCATGCATGCATGCAGCAACTATGCACATGCATGCATGCATGCATGCATGCATGCATGCAGCGTCTATGC